AGATAGATAGATAGATAGATAGATAGATAGATAGATAGATAGATAGATAGATAGATAGATAGATAGATAAAAGAGTTAAAATGGGAAAATACTAGACATTGGGCAGCACACAGCTCCACAGGGCATGCACTGCACAGCTCCAGGGTCTGCCTTTACAGAGGCAATGATGTCTCTAGAGATGAGCATTAATCAGGATGCCCTTACGAGTAAAAGAGGCGTCATAGTCGGGTTCTTGGGGGAGAGAAGCCTTCTGTTTTTTGATTTTTTGTTAATGTTCTTCATCAGATACTACATTCAATGCATAGATTCTATAACAAATATGAAGATGAAAACAAAATTTATTCCATATTCCCAGCTATGATCAACAATGGCATGTGAGGGCATTTACTTCCATGGTCCTTTCTCTGCTGGCTGACTTCACCCATACCCTGAGATAGGTTTCAGCTGGAATACAGCATTCAGTGAAGACCTAATTCAGTGTGGTAACAAAGTACCAATATTTAACTATGCTGGTTTTGACACTTGTCAAACTAAGTGTGCTTTTCACCACACCCAGACCCCAAAACAGTGGGAAAAGAGTGAATATCCCACTATAAAGCAGTTTGTTATCTTCATTTTTCACTGTTTGAGAGTTTTTACCCAAGCCAATGAATATTCCTGGAGTCTGTGTTTCTTGTTTTTTCCCCCTCCTCTTTCAGCTAGCATTGTTTATGGCTTTTAAAAAGCTCTTTACCCATGTGGCATGTGGATGTCTCATTCTTCAGTACATTATGGCAACTGAAGTTTTAACCATTAACCTGTGAGCTTCTCACATGTAGAGTCAAGCAGAATGTAATACAAGGATGAACAATCTTTTTCCTCATCTCTTCATCAACTCTTCAGCTTTTATTAGTATGATCTGGATTGTAGACCCCAAAACTAATTATGCTTTATTTATATGGCATCTCTTCTTTAAAAACAACTTTTTTTAAAGAGGTTATTTTTTATTTTATTATCCAAAGATTTTATTTATTTATGCATACAGGACTGGGGTACAGGCCAGAGAGGAGGGGCAGTGAGAGGATTCACCAGAGACAGAGTGGGGAGCAGAACAGGCAGAATGATGAAGTACACTGCTGAGGGAAGCAGTGGGTGGGTCAGGAGAGGGCTATTGCACCATGTGGGTCACCTCCACGGTGGGGATCGAACTCGCACTGAAGCCACTGTGGCCAGTTTGCAGTGCTGTGCTCCAACCCACTGCGCCACCAGGAAGGGCCTTGAGAACAACTTTTTAAACAAATTCAGCTAGGTGACAAAATTCACCATTGTCTGCTAGTTTTATTCACCACACCCAGAACCAGCCCAGTGCCAAAGGGAGACAGGACCCTCTGAGCGGGAGTCAGCCCCAGCATTTCTGCCTAATCCTGCAACCGTGTTGGATGGAGCTTGGGCCCAATTAGCTAGTCAGTCACTTTTCTTTAATTATTCAATTTTTGTTCATCTCTGTGGACTGGAATGTCATAACGTAATCTAAGAGAACCAGGCAGAGGCTTTATGTCTTGACACTTTCATGTGGAAGGTATCGCCTTTCCTCAGGTGACAGGAAAACACTGGGCCAGCTCTTTTGCTGAGAATTCTATGGCAGGCTGAATTGTCCCAGGTCCCTGCTTCACTTTTACTCATCTTTTCTCTCCTTAAGCATCACTCTGTGAAATACACCACAAATACAGCATGCATGAGGCTTACATGTATAGTGTAACGATGTGAAGCAAAAGTCCATGTGAAAAGTAGAAGAGCCCTTCCAAACAGCCCAGGAGTCAGCCCTTGTTAAACTCTGAATCCCTCAGCCTGGGTGGGACTTACTTCTTGCTGCTCTCTCACAATGCAGGCATTGAATCAGCCCTTGCCATGTCTGTTTCTGTTTCTCCAGACCATGAATTACTCAGGGCAGGTATAGTCTTCTCTTTGTGTTTGTTAAACTCAGCACAATGCCAGGACTTACCAGACCCTCTGTAAGCTACTCAATGATTGCATCTTTTGACAGACCTGGAGCCATTACTCCAAAAAAAAAAAGGGGGGGTGGGTGGGGAGGAGGGTTTTTGGTTTTTTTTTTTGCAACTAAGACTTGTAAAAAGTAAAATATCTGTTTCCCTCCAAAGTATCTAAAATTTGAGTTTAAGCAAACAAATAATTACTCAATGATACAATGATAGGTTTGATTTGCGTAAACATTAGAAAGAAAATTTAAAGTCTAGAATTAAGAAATCATTACATGAAACAAATATACCATGGAACCATTAATATCCTTAATTTCTAAAGAGCTCTTATAAATATATAATAAAACCACTTGGGACCTCATAAATTTATAAAAACAAAATATCCTTCTTCACTTCCTACAGTAATAATTTTTTGTTATCACATACAACTTGTATTTAATGCTCATTTTAAAAGATTTGTTCTCACCAAAGGGAGGGAAGGAAGGGAGAAACACTTTTTTCATAGTGTCCGTGTGTATACGTGAAAAGGAAAATATAAGCAAAATATATTGGTTAAAGCTCTTTCTAAAATTTCATCACTTCCAAAATCTAACTCATTTGAATTAGTTTTCAAATCAAAGTTAACTGGGGTTTTCTGTGTAATTAGCCCTGGTACCATTGAAAACACTGGCAACTAAGAATTTCCCTAAAACATTCATAAAATAACCAAAGATAGGAACTTTCCAATAGAATTCTTGTTTTTTTCCAATACACTGGCTCATCTCTTCCCTTACCCCTCTCAAAAATTTTTCAGTATCTTGGCTTTACCATTGTTTGTAGAATTTTTTTCTACAAGAGAGAGCTAGTGCTCTTCACCCCACCCGCAGACTTAGTTGAGATATACATTATGTTAACTATAAGACATAGTTGACAGCTAACATTATATAAGCCAAAGTTATACAATATACTTATTTGATACAAATATATTCCACAATGATGATCAGCATAGCATTAACTGATGTCTCCATCACATCATATAATTGCTTCCTCCCTCCCTCCCTCCCTCACTTCTTCCATCCCTCTCTCCCTCCCTTCCCTCCTTCCCTCTTTTCTCTCTTTCTTTTGGTGAGAACACTTAAGATCTATACTAACAAGTATATTACAAAATATGATTAGCTATAATCACTATGCTGTAAAACAGAACCCCTGAGAAGTTACTCATCTTGTAAATGGTAGTTTCTCCAATTTGACCAGCACAATTTTAAATGCTGAAACTCCAACTAAGTATTCTCATACCTTGTGAATGGGAATATAAATTATGCTAAAGTTTTCAAGAGCCAGTTGGGCAGGCTCCTGACTATTCCCTGGATACTTTTTGATACTCTAATTAATTCCAGTTACAGGATTCTACTCTGAAGAAAATATTAAATGTGAACAAATGTATAAAGTTACTCATCACAGTCAAAATTGAAGAAGACTAAATTGTTGGAAAATTGGGAAAAAAGTAACTGTGTGACATGATTGTGAGAGATTGTTATTTTCTTCTGTTTTCCAAAATACCTCACTGAGTTGGTATTATTTTTTGTAATCTGAAAAAAGAAGTCATTAAATATATTCTCAGTTGTCTGAGCCTAGACACAGTTTAGGTACACAGAAGTCTCTCTTCTTGATTTATTTCTGGTTAGTTTGGTCTCCATGGAGAACAGCTGAAAGGGACTAGAGGCATATGGGGAAGAACAACAGTGTTGGTTGAGATTGCAGACTGTAGGTGGGATGGACACTAACAGACTCACAGTGCATCTCAAGATCAAAGCAGGTCACTTACTGCAGGCTTCCAAAGAGATCGGTCTAGATTTAGGGGTTTTACCTGGGGGACTTTTGTCTATACCTCCACAGACACACACCAACACTTAACCGGACAAGGGACAGGCTCCCACATATTGGGTAGGGCAGCTGCAGCCTGATACTCATAATAGTCTCTGAATGTATTGATGAATATTGCTAGAACTTTTTATGATGACAGAATTTGTGCTTTTCATGCCTCTTTACCAGTAATGATCTGAAACACGAAAAACCGTGATTCCCAGGAGTGTTAAAAACCAGTGTCGGTACTATCACCCACTTAGGATAACCAGTGGGTAACCAGTGTTTCTATTTCCAAAAGTGCCCTAAGAGCCTCTTTTGTGTTGGGGATGGGGAAACTAGGTGTGGGGTGGGCAGGAGAGGGGGGAACGGGAGGACGTCACAGGCGAAGGGCTAGTGCCTAGATTGTCCATGTGAGGACTTTGTCTGAAATGTGATGTCTTGATTAAGTGATTGCCTTGCAGATTTGAGTCTAGAACCTTACTTAAAGGGAATGGAGAATAGTCAGAACCAAGGCATGGTGGAATGATGGTGAGGCAGCATCACCTCCTTAGACAAGCTCTGATGAGTGATATTTTCCTGCAGCTTCGCAACAACAAGGCAAAAGACGTCTGCCTGGACCAGGGACCATTGGAAAACCATACGGCAATATTGTACCCATGCCATGGCTGGGGGCCCCAGGTAAGCACCACCTCTAACCAGGAAGGGAAGCATTCTACCAACCTGCAGGGGGGTTATGGGGATTTTCTAGCTTCTGCTATCCTCCACTTTGTAGTGTTCAAAACGGGCTTCCTACCAGATGTGCATAGAAACCAATTACCAGGACATCAAGTTTTGAAAAGAGAAAGCTTTACAGCAAGTCAGGCAGGGAGGCAGGAGAAAAACTCAAATTTGCCTTCCCTTCAAGGAAGGAACAGGGGTTTCTATTTATTGTAGAGAGCAAGGTTGAGAACAAAGAAGTTAAATTGTATTGGCTGAAAAGTAGGTTGGGCCAAAGGAATGTGGATTTGGCTGCAGTTGATTCTTATAGTTACTTGCAGTGCAGTTTATACATAGAGAGGAATGAAGATTTTGATTCAGGTAATAGGAGTTTTGAAATTCTTCTGATGGACCCATTGCCTCTATTATTTTTGTTTCCACCTCAGCAGTCTCTCAGTTTTAAGGTCATTCTCTGCACATGCTTAAGTTATATCATCTACAGATAACTGTCTGTGCTCTGCTGTGTCTGTGAAAGCAAGTCTCAAAAAAAGTTAGATTTGTGTGTGTGTGTGTGTGTTGTCTAGGAAACCAGGGTCAATGTGGCTTTGGTTTCAGTAGTTGTTATCTGTTCTGACATTTTGACAAGCTGTGGGGAGATTTCTGGTTGTTTCTCTATAGGAATTAAGGAGAAAGTCACAAGTCATTGTACCAGCACACAGATTAAGAGAATCAATTGACACATTTCCAGAGAAAATGTGAATGAAATTCAGAGGCATTTGCTAACAAGCAAATACATATCACTTGTGTAAATGTTGTGGTTACAACCAAGGGAGCCTACTTACAACTTCAAGAAAATAATAATGGATTCCCTTATGAGAATGTGTTGATTTGTCCTTCCTGAAAAAGCCACAGCCAGGTTGGTATGTGTATAAGCAGGTCTGTAAGTGCTGTGACAAGCCACATGCTGGCAGGGAAGAAAGAACACGCTTGCAGGCACACCTCAGCACATGGGTTCTTGGCTTCATGGAAGACACAAATGATAAGTTAAAAAAGAGCGTAAAACGATCAACCAGCAAAGTAAAAATAGAGGCTGGTCAATGAATTTCCATTACCAACTGTGTTCTAGCCACAGTTTATGGATGTTTCTGTGCAAATGTGAGTGCATGCGCTGAGCTAACAGAAATTCTGTAAGAATGGGAGAAAATATATGTAAAAATGTCATCAGACTTGACATTTACAGAAATTTTAATCAATGTTATGTCAATCAATAGTAATAGGAGGCAAGCTATAAATTGGGAAAATATTTATATTCCATTCCAGAATAACACCTAGATGATTGGTTCTAAACTAGACAAAGAATTCTCTCTGGGTCTCAGTGTGTTCATCGGTAAGAGGAAGACACTGGAAAATGCCCTGTAAGTCCCTTTAGGTGTGTAATACACATGGTCACATGCAAATTCACGGTCATCAATCACACACACACACACATATAAACACATGCATTCATAAAGGCTGGTGAATTTTGGCTGTTCATCATGGCTTTGCTTTCTCAATAAGCCATTACTTGGGAAGAGAGTTCATGCCTCCTCTGCTACACCACAGGGTCTTCTTGTGTTGTAGACCCGCAGCCTGCCTTCAGTCTGTGACAGTACTCTGAAGGTGAAGTCGCATTGCCAGAAAGTAGAATCCTGACACCTGTAGTCCTCACAGAGGTAGCAGTCAGCATGAGGCCGACGACACGCAGAAGGGCGGTTGCCTGTGAGCAAAACTCAGGCCCTCTGGCATGCTGCAACATTTTAAATTTAAGTCTAATCTACTTAATTCAAGACTGTTGTCTGAGTCCTACCATCACATACAGTTGGCTAAAAGTGCCTGTGGGGAGCAGGAGAATCACTGGGGAACCTAGACCTGCTGCTCTTCCTGAAGGTTCCATCATCAGAATCCAGTGAGTGTTGTCATCCATTCATTGCCTTACTCCCTCAGCAAACACATCTTGAGCACCTACTGCAGATGCTAGTCACAGCTGTGTAGGTGGCTGATAAGATGGAGTCCCTGCTCTCAAGTGGTTTACTTTTGAGGGGGAAAGATGAGAAAAGAGGCAGGAAACCGGCGCTCCCTGGTGTCGCAGTGGGTTGTGTCGCAGTGGGTTAAAGCGCAGCACTGCAAGCTATCCATAGCCGCTTTGGCGCTGCTTTGGTGAGAGCCCCATCCCTGCCCTGGAGGTGACCCACATGGCCCGCTGCTCCCCTCAGCAGTGCACTTCATCAGCCTGCCTGTTCTGCTCCCTGTTCTGTCTGTGGTGAATCCTCCTACCACCCCTGCACCTCTGGCCTGTACCCTAGTACTATATGCATAAATTAATAAATCTTTTTAAAAAAAATTTAAAAATAGGCAGGAAACCTATAGCTTTTTAAGTATGAAAACAGCAAAATTACCCGGGGTGCTGGTGCTGGGCAACAGGCAGTGGCCACTTAGTGTGGACTAAGGATACCAGAGGGAAGGGCAAGCTGAGAGATGAAGGAGAGGGGTAGAGACGCAGATCTTGATCTCAAAAGGCCTGACAGCATGCTCCAACACACTGGTTCTCACACTTCAGTGTGCAGCAGAATCTTCTGGAAGTCTTCTGAAAGCACCAGCTACTGGGCCCCACCCTCAGGTTGCTGAGTCAGGAGTAGGCTCTTAAATTCTGGACTACTAACAAGATCTCCCAGGAAGTGCTGGCTTGGAGAAACCCTGAAGGCCCTAGGGATCTCTGGCAGGCTTCACGTGAGAGGAAGTTCACACTGGGCTCAGCTGCTCCCGAGACATGTCGGGGAAGGATGGATGCTGTGAGGACAAATGAACCTTCAGCAGCTACTGCTCCCCATCCGTTTTCCCTCTCAGGGACTGAGGAGTGAAACCTTGATCACTGGGAAATGGACATGGGTGGCTGGGCCCCGCAAGGAATAATGAACTTAGCCATTAAAGAAGCTGCCTCTTGGAGAAGCTGCCTCTTGGCACATGCCTTACCACCAGCCAGGGGCCCACCCAGCTAGAGGATCCTGACTTCGTTGGTTCAGTTAGATTATTTGACTTTAGGATGTGCAAACGCAATGCCAACGCAACAGAAACTGCACTTTGAATTTTATTCTTTTCTCAGATTTGCAGCAAGGCACCATCCTGTACTCTTGTGCTGCTGACCCACTGGGCAGTGGCAGGGAGCTGCAGTGATGCTATGAGGGTAAACAAGCAACTCTCCAGACTGCCTTCACCTTCAGTACAGTATTCAATACATGGCACAAGATAGTTAGCACTTGGTTGTAAAATGGGCATTGCATGAGATCATTTCACCCATCTGTAGGTTAATCTATGTGTTCTGAGCTCCTGCAAGGCGGGCTTAGCTACGAAGCTCAGCTGGTTAGGTGTATGAAGTGCATTTTCCACCTACAGTATTTTCATCTTATGATAAGGCTCTTGGGGCCAAACCCCACTGTGAGACACAGAAGATCTAACGTCTTGGGCAAGGTGCAGAAGAGGAAAAGTGGGACACAGTGCCGCTGACCAGGAAGGCAGAGACACCCAGCGGCAGCAGCCCTGTCCCCCAGATGTCCTCTCCCTGTGACACCTGCCGTCACTGGTGCAGGTAGCAGGAGCGTGGAAACTGCACCCTGGGGAACTCCACTTCACCCTGAGTGCCTGGCCACCATTTTGGGAAAGACCAGAGGTAGATTTAGAAGAACAAAATAATCCCCAGGTCTTTCTGAAGTCTTCTGCACAGATGCCATTTGAGTGTATATAAGCCACGACACAATAGACACTCTCACATTTAGATATTTGCTAAATTGTAAATGGACTGTGAAGCCAAGTTCTGTGAATGAGTAAGGGAGTAAACATGGTCTCATGCCCTCCTCCCAGAATGCTGAGGGCTTCTGCATGTGACTCCATAGTGAGTGTTTTTCACCTGGGTGTTTCAGGAGAAGAGTTTCTGAGCCGCTTGGGAAGTTCTCAGATGAGGACCAGCACATCGAGGCAGTTCCTTTCTTCTGTGGCCACCTCCTGTGGCCACCTCCTCCTACCTCACTCAGGGGCCCCCTGCCCTCCCGCCATGCCTGGCTACTCAAAGAACCCTCGACTGCCCTTGGGGTACCCATTGCTCCACCAAGTTATCCTCTCTTGCTAGGAGCTTAGAGACATTCACTATCTAGAGCATGGGCCTTTGTCAGGAAAATAACTGGATTTTCTCTTTCCTTGGTTTCACCTGCATGTAGGACTTTTCCAAATGAATACTCCTACTCTCTAGTTGATTGTGGAATGGCAAACCAAATTAGACTGCTCGTTGCACCCCCTAAATCTTGGATGAATACCTAAAAGCAGGCCATGGTTGTTTTCCATCTGCTGATTTTTTAAAAGCAAAGCTAATGTTGTTTTCTGTGCTACCACATGTTCTGAATTAGCGTGCTCCCTGGGTACTTCTCTCCAGCTGCCAGGTCGCCCCTCCCTGGCTCATCAAGAGATTCCGCTCCCCTTCCCAGAGTTGCTCCCCCACACTCAGAGTCATTTTCCCACTGGTCACGTGCGTTGGCATCGTCTTAAACTGCTCATAAAGTGCTGTGGGCAAACAGAGACAGAATCAAAGCTCCTGTAACAAGGCAACTCCCAGAAGAAGGAACTGGTGTTCCACGGACATTGTTAGCTTAATTAATGGATTCTATGTTGTAATTTATTATCAAGCAGCAATTAAGCAGAGATAAAATGGGCACTAAGGAGGGTAATTTCCTATCTTGCAACATGTGTTTGTCAACAAGATGGAAATGGTTCCCAACCACTCAGAGAGCCTGCTCACTGGCAAGCTTCTGTCTATCAGTGAGCTACTGACCAGCCTACTCTCATCTGGTTACTAATTTGTATTCAATAAACATCAGTTTCTTTTTTGAGCATAAGTTTTAGTTAAAAATAGGAGATTGGGGATGAAGTGTCAGCCTTTGGTGTCAGCTTGAACCTAG